CCCTGGACGTGCAAAGAAGGCCGCAAGAGCTTCGCTTCCTCATCCAGAGGTCGGACTTCCCCGCCGGCTAACCCCGCATTATTTTCCATTTCCTCTCAATGATCTCTCCGTATTTCAGGAAATATGATCAGCGCCCCTGATGTGGTGGCCTTCACCAAGGAAGATGAGTATGAGGAAGAACCTTACAATGAGCCCGCCTTGCCGGAAGAGTACTCGGTACCTCTCTTCCCTTATGCCAGCCAGGGGGCTAACCCCTGGTCTAAACTGTCCGGGGCCAAGTTCTCCAGGGACTTCATCCTTATTTCCGAGTTCTCTGAGCAGGTGGGACCCCAGCCCTTGCTGACTATACCCAATGACACCAAAGTTTTCGGCACTTTTGATCTCAATTAGTTCTCCTTGCGGATCATGTCAGTGGATTACCAGGCTTCATTCGTAGGCCATCCTCCTGGTTCTGCCTACCCCAAGTTGAACTTTGTGGAGGACTCTAAAGTGGTACTGGGAGACTCTAAGGAAGGGGCCTTTGCTTATGTGCACCACCTTACCTTGTATGACCTAGAGGCCCGTGGCTTTGTAAGGCCCTTTTGTATGGCTTATATCTCTGCAGACCAGCATAAAATCATGCAGCAATTCCAGGAGCTTTCAGCTGAATTTTCCAAAGCATCCGAGTGCTTGAAGATGGGTAACAGGAAGGCATTTGCTGGGGAACTTGAAAAAAAGCTGAAAGACTTGGATTACACAAGGACAGTGCTGCACACAGAAACTGAGATCCAGAAGAAAGCCAATGACAAAGGTTTTTATACATCTCAGGCAATTGAGAAAGCCAATGAACTAGCTAATGTGGAGAAGTCCATCATTGAGCATCAAGATTTGCTGAGGCAGATCCGCTCATACCCTCGTCAGAAGATGAAGATACCTGATTTGCATCCTGGTGATACAGAACATACCCAAGGTCAGGCTGACCAGGTATCCACTACCTCTAACCCTGAGGAGTCAGCTAATGCAGACCTTTATACCTGCAGGCCGGCTTACACCCCAAAACTCATCAAAGCAAAGTCCACCAAGTGTTTTGACAAGAAGTTGAAGACCTTGGAGGAACTCTGTGACACTGAGTATTTCACTCAGACCCTGGCCCAGCTTAGCCACATTGAACACATGTTCAGAGGGGACCTGTGCTACCTCCTGACCAATCAGATTGACAAAGCACTTAGAAAACAACAGCACATAACAAATTTCCTCTTTGAAGACTTTGTGGAGGTTGATGACAGGATGGAGAAACAAGAGAATGTGCCCTCTCGGCACAGTCAGGACAGGCTGCCTTCTAGGCCTGTGGAAGAATGCCCCATTCCTAAAGTGTTAATTAGTGTTGGTTCTTACAAGTCCAGTGTGGAGTCTGTGTTGATCAAGATGGAGCAGGAACTTGGAGATGCTGAGTACAAGGAAGTGGAGGCCACAGAGTCAAGCAGTTTTGACCCCCAAGAAAACCTGGACTACTTGGATATGGACATGAAAGGGAGCATCAGCAGTGGGGAAAGCATCGAGGTTCTGGGCACTGAAAAGTCATCTTCCGTGCTGTCTAAATCTGACAGCCAGGCCAGCCTCACGGTGCCCTTGAGTCCCCATGTAGTCCGTAGCAAGGCAGTCAGCCACAGGACAATTAGTGAGGACAGTATTGAAGTCTTAAGTACCTGCCCGTCTGAGGCCCTCATTCCTGATGACTTTAAGGCCAGCTACCCAAGTGCCATTAATGAGGAAGAAGCCTATGCAGATAATGAGGGGACCATTCATTTCCAGGCAAGTGTCAGCCCACCAGAACTGGGTGAGACTCAGGAGGGCAGCTTGGAAAATACCCCATCCCAAATAGACTCCAGCTGCTGTATTGGAAAGGAGAGTGAAGGTCAGCTGGTTCCTCTTCCCACCCCAGCTTACACTCTTTCTGATGAGGATGGTGTGGTGAGCATCCCCCCACAGCGCTACAGGCAGAAGGACCAGGGGATCCATGTGGACGTCATGATGGAAAACACTGACCCTTCCCGAGACAACAGTTGTGAAATGTTCTCTGCTTATGAACTGGATCCAAGCTGCCTTCTGGGTAGCCGAGATGTTAGTAAAATGAGCCTGGATAACTACTCAGATACTACAAGCTACATGAGCAGTGTGGCCTCTACCAGCTCGGACAGAATCCCCTCTGCTCACTCTGCTGGCCTATCCTCTGAGAGACACAAAAAGAGAGCTGGTCAGAATGCCTTAAAATTCATCCGCCAGTACCCATTTGCCCACCCAGCCATCTACTCCCTACTTAGTGGGAGGACACTTGTGGTCCTGGGCGAAGATGAAACCATAGTCAGGAAGCTTGTAACCGCACTGTCCATCTTTGTCCCCAGCTATGGGTACTATCCCAAGCCAGTGAAGCACTGGATTTCCTCCCCTTTGCATATTATGGATTTTCAGAAGTGGAAGCTTATTGGCCTACAGAGGTAATTGTTCCAGTTGGTGGGGTAGAGCACTAGACATTAAGAAATGAAGCAGGTTGTTCTGTGGCCCCCAGGAAAGGGAAGCTTGCTGTCTGGACAATGAAGAACCCAACTCACTGTTCTTACCTTTGGCAAAGCACTCTTGATTTTGTTGCCTTCTCTGTCATGGGGAGGGGGTTCACAGTTGCTAAGTGATTGCCAGTGCTGGCCCCTTCCTGCTTCCATGTCAGAACTGTTTGGAAGAATTACTCTTTGTGTGTGTGTTTGGTGCTAGCGATAGAGCCAGGGCCTGCATATGCTAGGCAGACAAACTACTTCTGAATTTCCCATCCCCTGGGAGAATTTTTTAAATCATGAATTCCCAATCAGATTCTGAATCCTTGGGGCTGAAGACATGACTCGGGGGTTAAGATCACTGGCAATTCTTCCTGAGAACCTGGGTTCAATTCCTAGCCCCCCCCCTGCCCCCACCATGGCAGCTAACAACTACTGTAACTCCAAGATCTGACACCCTCACACAGACAGACATGCAGCAAAACACCAATGCACAAAAAATAATTTTAAAAAAAAGAACTGGAGTCTTGTTTCCGGTGCATTCAGAGAGTGATTGGATTTGAAGGTCTTATGTTCCTTCTAATTCTGGTTCACATTGGTGTAAAGAATTGTGGCTGTCACTGGGGAAGACATAGAACTCCCATAGCTTGTACTCTGCTGTTGTGTTTGTTCTGGAAGTGAGGAGTCCCAAGAGCTTGTCCTTCCCCCATTTGAAGTTAGGTGTTACCTTGCATTGGCTCATCCACACCAGTATTTGAGCAGGTCACTTCTGTGTTCTAAGAAAATAGGAAAATAGAGTCGACTTACTGAATGGTCATTTGCTGAGTGTTATGAGGTAAGTGAAGTGCCAACCTCTGCCCAGTGCCTGAATTACAACAAAATCCAGCCATGTTGACTCTGGCCCCCATACTGTCACCATGCCATCAGCTTAGCCTCTCTGAGGCTGTTTCCTTCACTGTAGTCAGCCAGCAGCAAGTCTGTTACGATAGCAGATTCCTAATCATTGACTAGTTTTTAAAGAGTCTCACCAGGAACCACCAGCTTCCCTGGCCCTTGATTCTTTCCCCACACACAGCCTTCTGCCTGGAAACAGGAGGTTGGATCAGCCACTGGTGAGTCTCCCATCATTTTAAGTGAATGCCAGGGAGAAGTGTGTGGCTTGCTAAACAGCAGTTGACAAGATCAGGATTGGTGGCTAAACAGGACCCAGTTCTAGTAGGAGAGAATGCATGGAGGCTCCTGGCTGGATGGCCTCCCTGGTTTGGATGGTAGCAGTGGCTTGGGGGAATAGGCTGTGTTCACTGTAATGGAGCACAAGGTCTGGGACCTGATTGTATATTTGGCTTCCTGAGGAAGAGTTTTATGGGGAACAGAAATGGAAGATGTTGGAATCAGCCAGCATCTGGGAGAAAGGAGGTGCTTATTTTGAATTTCAGGAAATGGCCTAGGCTGGGACATCACAACAGAGATGGAGGGTCAGACAGGTAGAACTGTGCTGAGCATAGTGGGGAGAGGAGCTGCACATGCTGAGCTCAGGGTTGCCTGGTCCCCCAGTGAGAGTAAAGGCAAATTAAATGTGATGGAGAAGCTGGTATGGATTTAGCAAGGCCCCCAATGGGGTTGGTAAAGGCAAGCCATTGAGGTACTAGGATGGGCAGATGGTGAGGGACCTCTCTCCAAACCTTATACTGTCCCCATGGACTGTTTCTCAGCTGCAGGAGCCAATTCTCCCTGTTTTGTAGGGTTTGCTGTCCACTGCCACTGGTTCAGGGTTTAGGGCCTGTGTGAATGTTGCCATTTGAATTCTGAGCTGACCTTACCATGGTCTTCCCGCATTCCACAAGCCCCAGGTCCCACTCTCCTTTCAAGTGCAATGCACACATGAAGAGGAAGAAGACAAGACTCCAGAACATTCTTCATTGTAATCTCAGCTCCCAGGTCAATGCCTGGTTAGGTAGCAGATGCTTAATAAATAATTATGAAATGCACCAAGAAGGAAAAATTAGTTGTGCTCCAAGTGGCATTTCTTTTTGTATAGTGTCATGTCTTACATAAAACCTAAATGTTAGAGGAAGGTCGTCTGTAAAATCTCGTCAGCTCTATTGGCTGGGCTGGTGGGGAATGCCTGCCCTTGTGGGAAGACTGCTCTAAAGGAGAGCTTTTTGGTTTTCTTGTGGTGCTGGAATGAAAACCCTGACCTGTGCATGCAGGCAGATGTTCTCCCTACTCTACCCACCTCCCCTTGAGGAAGGCCATTTTTATGTTTTGTTTTACTTTTAGAAGCTTATTACAGAGTTTAAAAGGGAGAGGCTCAGAGAACTGTGCTGTGCTGTCTGAACCAGGCCTGAAGGTCAGCCACATGGTGCACAAGAAGCCATCTGGCACAGAGGGGAGCATTACAGACAGCGAAGCTAAAGAGTTGGGAAGAAAAAGAACCTCTGCCTTTCTGAGAAACTTGGGTTTTTTTAGGGAACACCCTCAAAAGGCTGAGCAGTTGGCCTGTCCCACTTCACCCTTGGAACACATGCTGCTGGGCAATAGAGACAAAGCATGGAGGGAGATGCAGCCCCAGGGCTCTAGAGTGGAGAATTCCTTAGCAGCCACCACAGTGGGTGGGTGTGGGCTCACCATACTAAGGGTGATAGCAGCACCCACTGAAGGCCAGGCCCCATCCTAAGGTACTTAGTTTATCACTCTGGTGACCTCAGGAGGAACAGTAACAATGAGAAGTATCTTCATCTCAGAGACGAGGCTTACCAAGGGTAAAGGAGGTCGACTAAGCTAATAGCCCAGAGATGAGGGAGGCCTGAAAGTGCTTCAGTCTGGTGTGAGGGATTCCAGGGAGAGCTCACTCTGGAGCATCCATTTAGTCAAGTAATAGATACTTCAGAGGCCATCAGGAATCAAATTGCCCAGGGCCTTGGGAACCAAAGCATTTGAATTTCCTTTAAGGCCACTGTATGTTAGTTGGGTGGGAGTTAGTTTGGGGAGCATGAGCCTCATCTCTTAAGTATTTGCTTCCATTTTTCTAACCCTTGTCTTTTTTTCTGACCTTGACCTATCTTTTTTCAGGGTGGCCTCCCCTGCCAGTATGGGTACCCTCCATACCCTGAGCCGTTACAGCCGCTATACAAGCATCCTGGACCTGGACAGCAAGACCCTCCGCTGCCCCCTATACAGGGGTACTCTGGTGCCCCGCCTGGCTGACCATCGCACTCAGATCAAGAGGGGCAGCACGTACTACCTACACGTCCAGAGCATGCTCACCCAGCTCTGCTCCAAAGCATTCCTCTACACCTTCTGCCACCACCTGCACCTGCCTGCCCACAGTGAGGAGACACAAGAAGCAGTGGCCAGCAGACAAACCAGCTTCCTAAAGCTCAACCTGGGACTAGTAAATGAGGACATCAAAGTGGTGCAGTACCTGGCTGAGCTGTTGAAGCTGCACTACATGCAGGAGTCACCTGGGACCACCCACCCCCTGCTCAGGTTTGACTATGTCCCCAGCTTTTTGTACAAAATTTCCAGCCACTGTGACCAAGACCTGTGACTGGGTATGGGGAGGGAGAAGGGTTAATGTAACTAAACAGTTGCCTGAGCTGGAGTGTCGAGCTTTCTGGTGTTAGCAGGAAGGAAACAGGTGGCAGTTGTGGTTCCCATCTCACCCTGGGCAGTATGTGAAGAGGGCCGAGCAGAGGTGGAGCCCATCTCTCTTGAGGTGGCTGGAAGAACTGCAGCGGCTCTTGGTTCCATGGGGAAGTGGCCGCCAAATAAGGAGGTGTCCCTAATTTTCCAAGAACCAGCAGTCTGGGCAGGAGGAGAAAGCTCTAGACCCTGTGGGGCTGGAAAAGATGCGTCTAAGTAGCCAAAGCCCAGATGACACCAGAGTGGCAGAATCAGTCTGGGAACTGTGGTGTGTGTGACGCAGGACAGCCATCGCCTCCATCTACCTCTACCAAGGCCCTTTACTTGGCTTCCTGGAGCTGGATAACTGAGGGGAGACCCCTGAACAAGGACGTGGAGGAACAGTGCTCTGGTCAGTTGGAGACACATCTGGGCTCTGGGTGATGCAGACCACAAGTAGCCCTTTGTACTGTCTTCCCCTCTGTCAAGGAAGTGCTTATTGAGTCCCTGGGGGTCATTCCTCATGGTGGTCCTGGATGTGAAGCAGATTTCAAACAGCTACAGCCAGTACAAGAACTACCTGGGGAGCTGTAGATGAAGCAGGTCATAGGCCATTCCCACTATGTATGACAGAAGCTGCCCACTGGCTCTTCTCAGCCATAACATGACCTTGGATGCCCCTGAAAAGGTCTGCAGCACTTTATTACCTATCCTGGAGGCTGGGGCTTGGTGACAACTGAGTTCTGACTGGAACTTAGGCTCAAGGTTATCCTGTACCAGCTCCTGGGTGGCTGTCTTTATAGTTCCTGTCTGGGAGGCAGTATACACCTCCATCCTTACAATCATCCACATGTCTCTTTTCCCTTCAAAGAACTTTGAGCCTGGGAGGGAGGCACCTTCTGGTCCCCACCTGACCCCCTGTTGGCCATCGTCGTGACCTCCCTGGGACTCCTGTTGCAGCTGCTCCTGTTGTGCTCCATGGAGTGCTTCTCACTATCTTGAAAATGTGAGACCTATTTAAAAAATGTTTTCTCAGCCAGGCCGTGGTGGCACACACCTTAAATCCCAGCACTCGGAAGGCAGAGGCAGTTGGATTTCAGTGAGTTCAAGGCCAGCCTGGTCTAAGTTCCATAACAGCCAGGACAGAGAAACCCTTTTTTGGGAGGGAAATGTTTTCTCTCTAAATAGAAGCTCTGGTTGTTACTGCTGCTTTTTAATTTGCTATCAAAGCAAACAAAACCCTGCAGTAAATTGGACCTGGATCAGCCCTGTGCATGCATCTATTAGAAGCTGTGTCCCCTACACTCAGGTCTGTCAGCTGGCCACATCACTGAAGTCTCTCACAAGAAGGAACCCTGTAGAAGCCAAGTAACCAAAAATGGCTTGGAACATGCCATTTTTGTGTCATGTTCCTTGCCCAGGTCTTTGACACAAGGTTGCAACCTGTTGGTTCTGGTCCATGGCTTTAGTCATGGTCCCCATTTTACTTTAGACAGAATATGGTTTTGCTTCTGAGTTTTTGACAGAACCAGAATTTTGTCACTGTGTCTGTTACATGTATTTACCGACACTTTAGCTGCTGTGGTTTCTCTTCACGGGCTCCTTCATCTGCTATTGCTTCTTAGTGTTCCAAATGCTACTTTGACTGGTTTGCTAAGTTTGGTTTCCTCAGGCCTCCAAGGATGAATGTGTTATGGAGTTCAAGAGCCAGGCTGGGAAGTGGTCAGTTGCTGGTACCACAGCCTAAGCATGGGGACTCGAAGGTGAACGCTGTTCCCTGCACTGAGAAAGCTGGATGAGCTGCAGCTACTTTGGCCTTCTGCATACTGAAAGCACAGACTTGGGCGGACTCAAGTGGAGCTCCAGGTACCAGGTTCCTCCCTGGCATTCAGAAGACAAAGTGACCCAGAAGACAAAGCCAAGCCTGATGTGGAGTGGGTGGAACAGTCTTTGTATGGCAAGTGTGGAAATGTCAAACAGGTGCCTCTTGAATGGCTCCTCACTAAATACAGACTGACAAGGGAGTTGTTTTTGAGACAGGATCTCGTAACCCAGGCTGAGTTCAAATTCAGAATGTACTAAGGATAACCCTAAACTCTTGATCCTTCTGCCTCCACATCCTAATTGCTGAGATTATAAGTGTGTGCCACCAGTACCAGTGTCTAGATTTAGACTTTGATTTTAAATCTTTGTTGTGGTGATTTGAAAGGATCACTTAATGCGGAAAGCATGTTTCCTCTCGAGATGAGTCACAGGGACTGAGTTTGAACAGAGGCAGTTAATGCTTTGCTTCTCTGCTTTAGAGGGCTGGGATCTTCCAGAAGAAGCATATGTGTACTCCTCTGTGCTGTGAAGACCTACGCAGCAGGACTCAGCTCCTTAAATCTTCATGTGGTCATTTGGTGTGGTGGCACACATCTCTAATCCCAGCATTCAATAGGCAGAGACAGGTGGCTCTCTTGTGAGCTAGAGGTCACCCTGATCTGCACAAGTTCCAGGCCAGCCAGGGCTACATAATGACATCCTGTCTTAAAGAACAAAAGGTTTCCACCTGAAGTGTTAGGCTAGTAAGGCTTTTGTTTTTTGTTCTTCTGAGACAGTCTAGTATAGCCCAGACTAATTTGTAGCTAATCTGTAGCTAAGGTTGACTTTGAACTTCTGATCCTCCTGCCTCCACATGCTAAGATTGCAGGACTGTTGTGCCTAGACTACACGGTTTTGGAGAATGAACCCAGGGCTTCATACATACTAGGCAAGCACCCTACCAACTGAGCTACATGCCTAGTCTGGCTAATTTAAGTTATACTACTAAAAACACCTCATAGAAAGATAACAGAGCTCTTCTTTATTCCTGTCATTTTGAGTCCTGGCACTAAAACTGGTAAGTCAGGTTTATTTCAACTTGACTGCCAAACTATTATTTCCCTTCTTTTTTTAAAAGCTGTCAGTTTAAGACCCATTCAGCTGAGCTGGTACATTGTTCTACCAATATACAAGTCATGCTGGTGCATTACTTACATTTACGTGCTCCACTGTTGAGTTTAGTCCATGGTCTTCTATACAATGTCGGGGACACATGGAACACACTGGCTTGAGTTGCTACCTCCTGCCTCACCATTTCCCTTCAGTAGAACCTTGAATTAAAAATGTTTTAACTCAGCCTGGTGGTGGTTCGCTGGAGATTCGCTGGGTTTGAAACTGCCTGGTCTACACAGACCCTATCTCAAAAACAAATGTTTTAACCCCTCCATGATTTGCTACTGAAGTTGCTTTAGTTACTCTGGAACTGGACTTCAGTCATACCTGATCTGACCTTTAACTCCTTTACTTTAGATCAGTCGCAGTATTTAAAGTACAAAGGATTTCAACCCCATCTAAATTAGTTCCCATCTCCTAATCTTAGGAAAGCAGGAGACCTCCCTTCTCCTTTGCTAGGTATCAAAGCCAGCAGTGCTATGTGGTACTGGAGGCAGAATTTCTAGATTATCTTGTACGCATCTTGGCTACCCACTAGCTTCGCTCAGTCCATGCCACTCCCCAGCCTGAGTGCTACTTATTGGACCAATGTCCTGTGCTACGGCCACCATGGTTTATCTCCCAAATGGTTGGGTAGTAGTATCGGACCTAGTCAATGATGATGTATCATCAGGTATGCAAGGCCTCTGGAGGTACCAAATCCTCGTGGCAGTAGGCCATCCAGGCTTTCTACTTCCCTAGAAAATTCCTAAGAAAGTGCCTTGGCTTGTACTTTGAAACAAATTAGCCAGCTTTCTGGCTTTACTCTAATACTGTGATCAAATGGAATTGTTAAGGGACACACTCATACTTAGGCTGCAGAAAGATTAGATTTATTTTGCTCTGAAAACAAAGCTTTGTTTGAGCTTAAACTTGGGCCCACTAAGCTTTGGGAAGAAACAGCAGGAACAGATGAGGTGTAGCAGTGGGAAAAAGCATCCTACAGTGTTGATCTACTGGTTTACAGTGCAGGTCCCCAGGAGGCCCTACTTGGAGCTGTATAGTTGTCTTCAATGAGGCAGGAATTAAGACTGCTAAGGTGTGCAGTGGCCCCACAATCAGAGATGAGGGGACCAGTATGACATCACACCCCATGGAAACAGACACAGCTGGCTTCACATGGTGGAGACAGTACCAACAACGGACCAGCTCCCAGGAGTCTTAGCCAAACTATCTTATACTGGACAGCTGGAGCTACAGGCTGGACTGAGGCACATAGCAGTTAGTGAGCAGCACAGTCTGCAATGAACTTTTGCTATTTTCTAAGAAGCTATTTTACTATTGCATGTCCCACCATGTCTGTGAATAATGTGTTCCAACCTGCAAACTGCACAGTACTGGAACCAGAGCACTGCTGATGTGACCGTGTCCCACAGGCATTATACACAAAAGTTTAACCAGCGTAAATGCCAAACAAATAGTATGAGGAGTGTACTTTTTAAGATATTAATTTATTTGAGTTCAGATATTTTTAAAATATAAAAACTGGTTGTATTTTTTAAAGCTATAATTCTTGTAGACATTCTGTGGGTAAAAATTTGATTGTGCATATTAAAAAGTCACCAATGGTTTGCAATGTGAGAAATAAAGACTCTTTGGGAAGGTGGCATGTGGGTTCCTAATTATAAGAAGGAGCTGGTTATCTCAGGAAAGTAGAACACAAAACCTTTGGCCTCTGCTGATTCTCAAACCAGAAAGAGATTTGCACTTCCATAGACAGCCAGTTCTACAAGGCTGTTTGTGTCGTAGGCATGAACCAAGGGCATCATACAGACTGCCTATGTACCTCTAAGTGACACCCCTAGCCCTTCTATAACATTTCAAATTGCTGGATCCCCTGGAACCATAGTTACAGATGACTGGGATCCATAATGTGGGTGCTGGAGATCAGGGTCCCTCTGGAAGAACAGCTGAGCCATCTTTCCAGCACCCAACACTAACTCTTGCTTATGTACCTGCCACAGGGCCCACTGAAAAAGGAGAAAGAAGGATTCTGGAATTTTTTATTTTTTTTTAAGATTTTATTATTTATTATGTCTGCACACCAGAAGAGGGCACTAGATCTCATTACGGATGGCTGTGGTTGCTGGGAATTGAACTCAGTACCTCTGAAAGAGCAGTTGGTGCTCTTAACCTCTGAGCCATCTCTCCAGCCCAGGATTCTGGAATTTTTAATAGCTCTGCCTCATACTGCAATCAATAAGTGAGATCAAATGGCTACACAGTACTTTTTTCCAGTACAGTTAATTATATAAAGCTGCTGAGAAGTGAAGTTTCAGAATTTTTGAACTGATATCAGCCTGTCAGAAACACCTCCAAAGCACAGTGCTGCTACAGGCAGCTTGGTAGTCGAGAGGGCATTTGGTCCTGGAGCAGTCCTACCCTCGTGGTAGATGCTGGCTGTGCTAGCTGCTGGCTGTGCTAGCTGTCAGACATCAGGCAGGCCAGGTAGGGAGAAGCTGGAAGCAAAACTCTCCACGTCTTCGCGAAGAGTCCTCACAGCACTCTGGTACTTCTCATCACCTGTCAATTTCTCCTTGAACTCTTTCAGGGTGGCCTTCACAGCCATGTCACCCTGGATCTGCAGAGTCAACTCGATCCCTGTGCAAAAGACAGTGAGTGCCATGTGGGACTTTCTTCACCACATATCCTGCTATAACTCATAGGTGTCAATGTTCCCCTTAGGTGATTGGGGATTGTATCCCTTGGCAATACACTTTTATAGACCTCATACAAGAGGAATCTGTAGACCAGCTTTCACCAATGGCTGGATCTTAGCTATTAAACCACATGAGAAACTCCACACACAAGCAAGACATTTGAACTTCCAACACCTCACCCTTACCTCTATGGATAAAGTGTGCAACTTTTTTGAAGTCTTCTTCCAAAAGTCCACGGGATGTCAATGCTGGGGTCCCCAGTCGAAGTCCACTGGGCCGCAATGCACTCCGGTCACCTTTGAGACAAATAAGGTCCTGAGCTGTGCCAAACACACCACTGAGCCCACAATTAAAAAAAACAAAAACAACAAACAAACAAACAAAAATGGTTGGGCAAAGATCCTGGTCTGTGGATCCCAGCTTGATCTAGCAAGGAGGCAACTGACTTAAAAACTAGGGTCTGGCCGGGCGTTGGTGGCGCACACCTTTAGTTCCAGCACTTGGGAGGCAGAGGCAGGTGGATCTCTGTGAGTTCGAGACCAGCCTGGTCTACAAGAGCTAGTTCCAGGACAGCCTCCAAAGCCACAAAGAAACCCTGTCCCGAAAAACCAAAAACCAAAAACAAACAAACAAAAAAAACAGGTCTGAGGATAAAGAAGCATATGGGTCACTGTATTAACCTGTGAAAAGTAGTCCTCTGGTGTGGCTCTGGGTCTCATAGGAGAAATGCTACTTGTTTTAGAGTCTCTGCCTCTCTCACCAGCTGTGCCACTCAATTTGCCTTCTCCTTTCTGCCCTTCCCCCACCGTGGTCTGTCTCCCAAGCTGAATCCTTTCCTCACCTGCAACACGGACTGATGGAAATAAATGCAGGTAGGAGGGCTGTGGAAGGAAACCATGGAGGAGTCTCACCTGGGCAGGTATTCTTGTTGCAGGCGATAGAACAGGCTTCTAGTACCTTCTCAGCCCTTCCACCATCGGTACCCTTAGAACGGAGATCCACTAGGATCAAGTGATTATCAGAACCACCTGGAAACAACATTAGATAAAATGGGATACAGAAGGTCGACGACAAGCGGTATGGAAACTTCTGGCGAAACATCTGGCAGCTTCTCTAGCCCACACTGCATGTGCCATATCATGGTAGAGACCCACACAGGCTGAAGAGCACTCAGGTTTTCATATTCTGTGACAAATGACTCTAGGTAAATGTTCTACCACTGAGCCACACCCCCCAGCCTTTCTGAAGCAAATTTTAAGAGGCTCCTTCTGGGAGAAGCATAGTGTTACATGCTTTCAATCGATCCCACCATTCTGGCAGAGGCAGGTGATCTCATGAGTTCAAGGCCTCAGGGAGTTCCAGGCTAGCCAAGATGTCATAGTGAGACTTTTATCTCAAAAAACCAAAACAACCAAAAGAGCTCTGTTTAAGTAGCACCAGAGGACTTAGTAGGGGTTCAATTATGCAGATGGGGGTAGTGACCACAAGGTAGGAAGCTTTTGTTCCAAACCCCATGAGGCTGGTAAAACAGACTGAACATCCTTCATCAAAATGCTCAAGACCAGAAGCAGTGTTTGGAGATTTGAATTTTTTCACATTTTAGAATATTTGCTAGACCTTATTGATTGAGCATCCCTAACACAAAAATTCTAATAAAAAAGTTTCATTAAAACTTTCATAAAAAACTTTTTAGGCATCTGGTTTGTGTTCAAAGCCTTCAGATTTCGAAGGAGATATCCTTTTAGTGACATAGATAATGCTAAGATTCAGATCTCAAGGGCTCTCTAAAAGTTTATGGTATTAAAGGCTTGCTCTCTAGTCCAGCATATCAAATGGTAACAGAACCTGTGAGAGACAGGCCTGATGCTGGGCACTGTGCTGTATACCTACAGCATACCCAGCATTCTGGAAATGGAGGCCAGCCTGGGCTATATAATGAAAAGACACTCCTCACAATCTAAAAGACAGGCTTAGCAGGTCTTTAGGTCACTGGAGGACTGTGGGATCTCAGCCCCTTCTCTTTCTTGTGTCCTGGCTGTGAATGGAGGCCAGCCTGGGCTATATAATGAAAAGACACTCCCCACAATCCAAAAGACAGGCTTAGCAGGTCTTTAGGTCACTGGAGGACTGTGGGATCTCAGCCCCTTCTCTTTCTTGTGTCCTGGCTGTGAGCTAAATGGCTGTGCTCCACTACAAGCTCCTACACAGTGATGTACCTGCCCAAAAGCAAAAGGGCTAGTTGGGTTAATCTACTGTGAACTGGACCAGATACTCCAAAAGTAAGTTTTTGTGTTAAACTGATTATCTGGGGCACTTGTTAAAGACAGCTGGCTAACAGATGAGGGCAGTGATAACAGAATTTTCTGGACCAAGCCTGAGGTCATAAACTTTCATTAAACCATGTGTGGTCTTGGAAGACCATTGTCTCACTTCAACCCCAGGCTGTGCTACAGGGATGATTCTAAAGACTCAGCTTAATCAAGTCTGCAGTTCCACTTCCATCAGCTAACATACTGGAACCCCAGGGGCCCAGGTCAAAAAAATGACTGGTATGTATCACAAGGCTGTTATGAGAATCATATTTTATACCCAATACTTGACAGGATCAGGTAGAGCCTACTGTGCCCTGGAGCATGGATGGTGTGAGCTATCACCAAATGGAAGAATGATGGCTCTGCCACCTCCAAGTGGGTGACAGCTATAACCTGGTATCTCTCAAGTGAGTCTTCCCAGACTGTGCAGAGTCCCCAAATTGGGTGTCAGGTGGTAGCTACTAAGGCACATAGAAGGGACGGACCTACAGCTGAGGGTATGCTCAGCTGTCTGAGGTGGCAAAAATCATTGCAGTGGTGCTAGACCACACCCTGACTAGATGAACTAATAGGCAAGACTTCAATATTCCCACCCAAGAGAGGTCAGCCCAGAACTTTGGGCATTAGGGTACCTGTGACTATTTTGTAGCCTAGCTCTTTGAGGGCCTCAGACAGAATCTTGCAGTTGGCCACCACCTGGAGCTGGTAGATTTTGAATTCTGTAGTCATGGCTTGCTTCAGGGCCACAGCAACACCTGGACAAGGAGACAGATTTAAAGACAGGTGGTGACTCAGGAGCAGACCTTGTTTTCAAGGAATCCGGTGTCTGGATTATTACACCCCTCCCCCACGTGCCAAATTTTTATATCTATATCTATATCTATATATCTGTTCTTTGACAATGCTAGGGATAGAAACAGGATCATAGATAGTTGTGCTACACCACCATATTGTTTTAGCCCTATAATTACCCTGCCACCCTCTTTGCAGACATCACTGAAGCCACTCCTCAAGGTGATCTTATCTCTAGGGATGAAAACCCAGTGGAATCTGATGGATGGATTTAGTTCATTTCATGCCTGATATATGGAAATGAAATCTCTGCATGAACAAAATCAGTGCCTTGTGTGTTGTAATGCAACATTCTGAGCTGTACCCCCAGAAGGGATGACCTGCTTGGCCCGTCACCACTTAGTGCACTGACACCCTTTTAATTATTCCTGCGGGCTGTTTGATTACAAGACACAAGAAGCATAGCACCACGAAAAATGCACATACTTAAGCCCTGGTATGGAGCCACCATGTCTGCTTGTGTAAACACTTGGACCAGCATGACCAGCATCTTAGGGTAGCAGGGATTATGAGAGCTAAGCATACAAGCACAATAGGGAAATCTGAATACCTGCCCAGGGCCCACTGCATCCCATGCTCCACACCTCTGGCATCCTCTGTGCTCCACCAATGTGCTGTGTTAAGCTAAACTGCTTTAAACTCAGAGATCTGTCTCTTCCTTCCCAATGCTAGGATTAAAGGCATGTGCCACCATGCCTTTTTTAAAAAAAATGTGTATGAGCGTTTGGCTTGCATGTTTTGTCTGCATTACTTGCATGCCTTGTGCCTGCAGAGACCAGAAGAGGGTAATGGATTCCCTGGAACTGGCATTAACAGATGGTTGTGAACTCCCTACAGATAGTGGAAATTGAATCATGTGCTATGGAAAAGCAGCCAGTTATCTTAACTGTTAAGCTATCTCTCAAGCCCCTGTATGCTGTTCTTTCCAATATCAGTGTACACTGATGTCTTGCCTAAGACATCCCACCTTGTCCTCAGTGCCTCAGTACAAGCAAGTGCCACTGCCACTGCCAAAATGACAGTGAGATGATTCAGACTGTTACAGGTTATCAATAAGCCATGTGTCCAAATTGAGGGAAAAAGAAGAGGGCCTGTAGGGTTTCCACAGAATCCAGGAGTTACCCCTGTAGCCAGGGTTCAAGGTGCAAGAGTTATAAAGTGGGAGCCTACACCCCCACAGGTGTGGGATTAATGGAAAAGAAGCAGCTTGTCCTGTAGGATTGGGCCACACTCATCTTCAGACATCTTCCCTGCCACAGAGTGTAGCCTAAGGGTAGCCAGATCTGAGTAGAACAGACACTTCTGTCCCGTCCTTACCTTGTACTACTTTTAACTACCTCCCTTTCTGTTGTACAGACATTTTCTCCTAAGTTCCTGCTCCAGTGTGGAAGTTCAGGAACATCTTTGAAGGACAGGCAGGATGAGAATTAGACTCCATGGGGGTGTGATGGCTAGTAAGCAACCCCAGGGCTCTACAATAGACTTGGTGGCATTACCAGCAATGGCATGGTTATGGGGGCCTCCCTGTAAGCCTGGGAACACAGCAGAGTTGATGAGTGACTCCAGCTCATAATGAATCTCTTTGCCAGTCTTGGGGTCCACACTGCGCACACCTGGTAAATAAATTACAATGTTAACAGACAGACCAGTTTCCTTTGCCTCACAGTCAAACTGATATGTGCAGTCAGTCCCACCTCAACCTGGACTGCTTTGTAGTGAAAGCTGTTTAACAATGCTAGAGCAAAAGGTCCATACAGATGGACCTTTTGAGTCAATCTTGCTTTTTAGTCTTGGCTAGCGTAAAACTCACTATATAGACCAGACTGACCTCAAATTTAAGAGATTCATCTGCCTCCCAAGGGCTAGGATTAAAGGAATGAGCCACCATGCTTGGTCAACTTTTTTCCTTAATTAAAAAAACACAACTCCATCGAGTGTATAAGGTGCACACCTTTGATCCCAGCATTCAGGAGGATCACTGAATTTGAGGCCAGCCTGGTCTGCAGAGCAGGTTCCAAGACAGCCAGGGCTAGACAGAAAGCCTGTTTCAAAAACAAAAAACCCATAAATCTATTATTGTGTATGGGCATGATATGTGTGTGGACACACATGTACTATGGCAAGTACCATCGTAAAGGTCAGAGGGCAACTTTGGAGTTGGTTCTGTATTTCCATTCCACCTTTATGTGGATTCTGGGGATTGAACTCAGTCACTCAGCTTGTGTGGAAAGTGACGGAGTGAAAGTATGAAGGTAGTAATGCTCAGATGACTATTTGTGAGAAAAAGTTAATAGTAAAGGTAATTCCTATTCAATGATAAGTGTCACTAACACCTACATTGTAAGCCAAAGAACTGCCATAGGAGCAACTCACTGAATCCCCAAAATCGTCTGGAGGCATGGGTGCTATGATGGCACACTCTCCTCTAGAGAAGAGGAGACAGAGGCTGCCTGTGGCCCAAGATGACACAGCAGCAAAGAGGCCAGATCTACTCTGACTGGCTGAGGGTCAACAAATCCCACTGCACACACCAGACACACCAAAGGTCTCTGTGTTAGGTGACTCAAATACCAACCCAGAAACCTAGCTTGTGCCTCACACCTATAATCTGATCACTGAGGGGCTGAGACAAGAGGATTGTGCTAAGAATGAGACCCTGTTTCAAAACCAAAACAAGCAAACAACAACAAACCCAACAACTCCACACCAAGCAAGATGGCAAAGGTCCTCCAAGGCCACAGAACCTGGGAGACTAAAGTGGGACCTAACTAGGACTTGCCCTCAATAGGGAGGGGTGGGCTAAGGCAATAAGATCCCACCAGTGTAATACACACCGGAGGGCTAGTTTATCTGCTTCTCCAAAGCTATGGCTACATAACTATTGATACAACTTTCACCATTGTAGCAGCTAGAGATTCAGGGGAAAAATGCAGAAGTAGGATGTAAGGTAGTGAGAAGAGAAATAACTTACTAAAATGATGAAACTTATACAGAGGTTATTTGTTTCTGTTTTATGCATGAAACATGAGTCTGAATTACCTAGCACTGGCGGACCTAGAACTTAACTTCAGTAATCTGCCCCTAAACTTTCAGCTGTCTCCTGCCTATGCCTTCCAAGGTGCTGGGATTACAGATGCATGCATGCAACCATGCATGCCTCCTGTATCAATGTTTTATAGCTTAATTCTTGTTGCATGACAGTGTGTTAGTCTCATTGTCACCCTCCGCCTTTCCTTTGACAAAGTCTCGGGATGGCCTCAAATTCCTATCTTCCTGTTTCATCTTAAGAGCTGGGATTACCCACTTCCAGCACACATTAGTCTTTCCTTATGAGGGCATGGAGATGGCTCAGCAGATAAAAGTGCTTGATGTACAAACCTGTCAACTTGAGTTCAACCCCGGCATCCCACAATGGAAGGAGAGAAACAACTCTCAAAAGTTGTCTTCTGACCTCGACATTTTGGTGTGTGAGTATCCCCATCAATAATAGCATTTAAAAAAAAAAAAATTCTCTTTGACAAATATGCTAGATCATAACAAGTTCATCAAAATAGCTGCATTCTAGAGCTACCCCACCCTTCCTCCTGTGTGGAGGGTCAGATGAGCAGGACACTGGCTAAGCCCCTTTCTGTCACACACACTGAGGCCAGAACTGTGGCTTTAGGCTTCTTACAAAGCCCATCACTACTCTTTCCTGATGAGCTCTTCAAGGTACAGAATCCTGATCTTTTCCAGAAGTCACAGTCCAGAGTATTATTCCTGGTTTCTTCCACCCTTTGCCTGTCCCACCAGGTGGGAACTTACCCTTTCTGTAGAATATCATACCAGCACGGCAGCCTCTCAGGGTTTTGTGGGTTGTGGTGGTCACCACATGGCAGTATTTAAAAGGGGAGGGTATCACAACTGCTGCCACCAGCCCACTAATGTGTGCCATGTCTGCCATGAGATATGCCCCATTATCATCAGCAATCTTTCGCAGACGTGCGTAGTCCAGGTTCCGAGAGTAGCAGCTGGTCCCTGAGACAGAGGAGACATGGTAGTGTCAAAGATTCCCAGGGCAGCTGATCTAGTCTCTGATGCACAGATGTGAAAGGAGACCCACCCCATCTTTGAGGACAGAGGTGCAATGTGGTCTGTAACCATCTCTGAGCTAAGTGTGGTAGTACACACCTTTAATCCCGGCACTGGGAAGGCAGAGGCCAGTGGATATACAATGAAACCATTTCAAAAACAATCAACCAATCAAACAAAATAAAACCACCCCTGTGCTTTTATACATGTTAAGAAAAGCCTAAGGCTTGAAGCACTGACCCACTAAGCACTACTGATGGCAAGCTGTTAAAAAGTCTTGTGTGAGAGGGACATGAACAATGTCTACCTTACCCTCATATGGTCAATAACAAAACCAAGTACAAGTTCACCGTGGGAAACCAGAGCTTATTGGGTTTGCTTTATGGGTGAGATTAGTGACAGAAGTGTAGGTGATCCAAATGCAGCTGTCCTGGAAAGTCCTGACCAGCATAGACGGCTCCTCCATAACAGAATTAAGAAAGCTCCCTTCCCCCAGGCTTCCCCAGACTAGATACTCTAGCCCCTTATGGAGGCCACATGCACTTAGGGCAGAACTGCAGATGGCTGGGGGAAGTAGCCTGACACTCATGTGAGGGTTCAATGGCCCTTCTGGCTCCCTCCTTTTAGGAGGGCAAATGTCAACCATCCACAGACCCAATCAAGATGGACCCTTGAAAGCAGGCACAGCTGACCTCATGAAGATGGCAGCAGTCTGGCTAGAAGAAAGGCTCTTTACAGTCCAAGACTTAAAAGGACAAAGTAATTCTGTCTCAAGTCCTGAGCTCTGCACAGTGAGCTGGAGGATGGGATATCTATCCATCTTTCTCTGTAGGACACAGAGGCCCTGCCCAGGAACCAGGCTGCTCCCCACTTGCCACTCACCTGCGACGATCAGCTTCGGGTGAAAGAGGCTGGCATTCTCCTCCAGCTGGTCATAGTTAATGTAGCCAGTGTCTGGGTACACCTGTCGGGAGCAGGAAGACACAGGCTTGGCTACTCCCTCTGGTCACACAGT